TTTTTGCTGCACACGGGTTGCCAGATGTTCTAGTGTCGGATAACGGTCCTCAATTTACTTCTACTGAGTTTCAGGGATTTCTTCGGACCAACATGATCCGCCACGCTGCTTCGGCTCCCTTCCATCCTTCCACCAACGGTCTGGCTGAACGGATGGTCCGCGTCGCCAAGGACGCCCTCAAGAAGCTGACTTATGGCAACTGGCATCACAGGTTGGCTGACTTTCTTTTGGCACACCGTACTACTCCGTGCACTGCCACGGGTAAGTGCCCGGCCGAACTCCGCTGGGGTCGTCGGCTCGTGACTAAATTGGACAGGCTGCATCCGGAACGTGTAGCTGCACAGGTGTCTCAGCCACACCCACCACGGGTCCTACGTGAAGGTGATCCTGTCTCGGCCAGGAATTATGGGCCTGGCCACCTCTGGGTACCGGCTGTGGTCTGCAAGGTCTCGGGGCCTCTGTCCTATGAGGTGTCCCTGACAGACGGCCGCGTGCTTCGCCGCCACATTGATCAATTATGTGTGAGGCGGGACTCACCTATGGTTCCTTCTCAGTCTCCTCTAGGGGGGGGAGGAGGAATGGGCAATACATTCTGGGAATCAAAACCAACAGCCAACGATGGCTGTGGGGAGTGAAGCGGGTACTCAACACCCAACCTCCACAGGTGCTTCAGGTAGCAGTTCTCGGGAAAGGGGGTACACAGACACCCCCCCACACACTCCAGCCTGGGAGTCCCACCGGTGGCAGACTAAGTATCCACCCCTAACAAGCAATACTCCAGACACGGAGAATACCTGGGAGCATACTCACAACTCACAACATGCAAGAGAGCAGGCAATACAAAGGGGAACACGTCCCTTGCTGAAAGGGCTCAGAGAAGGATGTCCTCATGCATCAGGGCTAACAGGGAGGCATCCCTAGACCCTAGCACTACAGAACCGAGCCAGGAAACCCGCACTCCATCAGGAAACACGGGAATGAACTCAGAGGGGTTAGACAACTCCATAGAGGGTAGGTCAACCAGGGCCAACAGGGCCCTGACTGCTCAAATACAGGAGACGGGCTGGAAAGTCAAACTGAAGTCACTAGTCATTCACAGGGCACTTCACCTGGTGCAAGAAGCAACGGGGAAGACAATACAAACTCCCCAGGTCTAAGAAGGTCGCTCAGGGTAAGAGGCCCTCCCAAACACCTCGCCGATTACGTAAGGTGAGCAGGTACATAGCAATAGCTGAACTAAAAGTACTGGCTGGTTGTCTTTAAGGAAACAAGGTCGGGAGCCACTGGATCTGGTTCAAAGGAACAGTCCCACACCTTATACATTGTGTGACATTAACTCATCATTAATTATATTACCATCAATAGGATGGCGTCCATGTGGGTGCAATCTTATTTCATCCAGGGGGAAGGGGTGTTGTGTCCTAAGCCTGCAAGAGGCAGGCTCGGGACGTTGCAAGAGTCCCGGGCATTTGCAGAAGCTGCCCGGGACCAGACTGAGCGGCGCCGGCCTTGTGCGCATGCGCAAGGCAGGAAAAGACCGCCTCATGATTGGTTGAACTTGCCCGGGGATCAGAAGGTATAAATAGAGGCCTGCGTGCCTCTGCTCGGGTTGTTCGTAGAATGGAAGCAGAGAATAAAGACTTGTTGGAAATGCTTCGTCTCAAGCACCATTATTCTCCGGACTTAACAGTATAGGTTCTCCTGCTTGAGCAGGGGCCTGGACTAGAACAGGGCTTTTCAACCTTTTCACCCATTTAGGATATGGCTATATCCGAGTACCACCAGTCGCTTAGCAAGGTGTCAAAAAGTCTGCTTGCCTCTAGATGTCCTCTACCATTTGTCGCAAGGTTTGTTTTGCTTGGTCGTAGTCCAATTTGAGTATTATGGCTGAAGAGAAGCCTAGTTTGGCAAGGTTGGACTTGACTGCCTTGATCCATGAAGAGGAGAATTTGTCTTGACGTATTAATGGAGCAAGGCCTTGCAGAGAGAAATTAAGTCTTAGCCAGATATTTAAGGAAGCTATACAGATTCTTGCTTCAACTTTTATCAATCCTGTCTCCAGGCACAGAAATACATTTAAGACACAACGTGGCATCTGGAGAATTGTTCTAATAAATTTGGATTGAACTCTTTCCAATGGTGTGAAACACAAAGCTGAGGGTCCGAGTAAGGCTTTTCAACTTTTTTACCCATTGTACCACTTTTAGGATATGGCAATATCCAACTACTACCAGTTGGCTAGCAAGGTGTCAAAAACTTGACCCCCCCCAAAAAAGGAAAAACGTGATAAAGTACAGGTAGTCCTCGACTTACAACAGTTCACTTAGTGACTGTTCGAAGTTACAATGGCACTGAAAAAAATGACTTATGACCATTTTTCACATTTATGACCGTTTCAGCGTCCCCAGGGTCACGTAATTTACATTCGGATGCTTGGCAACTGATTCATATTTATGACGGTCACAGTATCCCAGGGTTATGTGATCCTCTTTTGCAACTTTCTGACAAGCAAAGTCAATGGTGAAACCAGATTCATTTAACAACCTTTTATATCAAGGGTGTCAAACTCAATTTCATTGAGGGCCGCATTAGCATTGTGGTTACCATTGGGGAGGGGTTCCATCCTTCCTTTTCCCTCCCTCCTTCTCATTCCCATCTCCTTCCTTCCTTCCTTCCTTCCTTCCTTCCTTCCTTCCTTCCTTCCTTCCTTCCTTCCTTCCTTCCTTCCTTCCTTCCTTCCTTCCTTCTATAGGGCTGTCAGGGCTGTATCCAAATCATCTTTTCACAGCCTTGGGGCTATGCAAAATGTGGCTCTTTGGAAACTCAGCCTCTACAAAAAAATTTGTTTTGTTTTGTTTTTACATGTCAGGCATTGTTAAGACTCTCTGGCAGCTTCATTCTTCAATGCATATGGCCAATATTTAAGAATACAGCCCCAAATCTCTTACGCAAACACAATGCATCATGTCAGTTGTAGGACAAATAACATGAGCAAGCATTTTATTTCCTCCCTGGATACAATTCCTGCAGCTGCAGAAAAAGCAGCAAAAATAGAAAAAAGAGAGAATGTGCATTTCATTAATGGAGAACAAAGGAACAGTGAATGACTCAGACTTAAGGGGAAAAATAGACTAAAAATAAATTTTAAAAAACACATGACAACAACATATTTTCTGCCATGGAGCAAGTTTCGAATTGACTCCAGAGTTCAGAGATCTTAAACCAGGGGTGGGGAACCTTGGCTCTTTTATGATTTGTGGACTTCAACTCCCAGAATTCCTGAGCCAGCATGGCTCAGCTTGGAAACCTCTCCCTTTCCCCTCAGTATGGTTGGCTCAGGAATTCTGGGAATTGAAGTACACAAGTCATAAAAGAGCCAAGGTTCCCCACCCCTGTCTTAAATGGTTGCTCTGCGGGAATTGCTTCCCATGAGGAAAGCTGAGTGAGAGATTTACTAAGGCTTTGGAAATGGGCGGAGGAAAGAGGAACGTGGCATCCGCCAGACATTTTTGTTCAAATTGGGCATCCAAAGCAAAGGGAATAAACTGTTGCGGAGTTTTGAAAAACTGCCAGGGCTGCTGCCCCTCTTCCCGAAACAAAGTGCTCCGCACAGCCCAGCCTCATCCCGCATAGCTGCCACGATGCCCGGCTATTTGTCCAAAATGAAGTACAGGTCAAAGCCCCCATAGCAGGCAGTGCCCCCTCCTCTCGCTGCCCCCCTCCCCCGTCACAGGGGACTATCAGGGTGGCCAGGAAGAGCCACTGCAAGGCCCAGGGAAGAGGTCTCTGCACTGCACAAGCCATTCCCAAATCCAGGCAGCCCAAGGCGGTGAAGGTCCCGGGGCTCTGATCCTCCCAAGCTCTTTCAGCGGATGGCTATGCAGCAGCGGCAGCAGCTTCTCAGGGGATCAAATCCTCATGCTCAGAAAGAACAGGAAAAGGCTGTCTGGAGGTGGTTTTTTTGGGGGGTGGTTTCAGATTTCCCTTCTGCTCTGCTTTCCCTCTGGTCCATTTTCAGGGGCGCCTCTGCCTTGCGCTTCCAGCGCAGCCGAGTCCGCCACTGTTGGCCAGGCGATTGGCAACTTCCAGACAGTCTTTTTTCCCAGTTGCTTTGTTTTGCCCCAGATTTGAGGAACGTGGAAGCCCCATCCCCCCTCCTGCCCCCTTCCCCGTGAAGAAAATACCTGGAATCTGACGCTGAGCCCCAAAGAAGCACCAATCAGAAGAAGCGCTGATCAGCTGGAGGCTGGCGCTGATCCTGGCACTTCTGATGAGCTCTGATAGCCCTGCAACTCCAGCCATCTCTCGCTCAGGCTTGTGCGGCGCTACCACTGGTTCAGCTGATTCCCCTCCCCTGCTAACACTTCTCTAGGGTGGTCCCGTACCATCTGACAGGTGCCAATGTATCACAGGTGGTATGTGTACCACCGGTTGAAAAGCCCTGGACTAGAAGACCTCCAAGGTCCCTTCCAGCTCTATTCTATTTTACTTGAGCAACGTTTGATCCAGTATTTTCTCAGGGAGTTCTACTTACCAGTAACTTGCGGATAAAACTAGAAATTTCCAGTCCCAATTTCATAACATTTTCCACTGCAGTAGGATAGGCTGCTGTGGCTCCCTGAACCCAGTCTACAGCAATCACGTTGACTCTGGCTACCTCTAGGAAGGCTTGAATTAGTGCATTTATCCATGACGGTTTGGTGCCTAGTGCCCTAAAGAGAAATACAAGTAAGAGAATGTGGGAGGGCATCTCTATTTATAAAGGAAGGGTGAAGCCTGATCCGCAACGTTTAATGTCCAACAAATCATGAGACCCTCAATTTACAGTAATGCTGATGGGCTCAAGCTGTGTTCATAGCAGATATCTCAGCTTCCTGGAAACTTAATTTTTCAAAATTTGGCTTATTCAACAGCATGTTCATAACCAAGATTTGTCTCTTTACTAGATAATAATGAAGCCATATACTATATACAGAGATCTGTCTACGGCAGTATGCAGAAGTCAAGGCCCACACTTAGATCTGTGACTAGGATTAAGATTCTAACGTTTTTCCTTCCTCCTTCACTATTCAGTGGATACCTTGCTGTTCTCTTGATGGCCTTGGAAGGCACCTATGTGCTTTGTGTTGACCTAAAAGTTCTGTCTAGCCTAGGATTCTCTGGCTCCTTCCTGACTACATTCATTCATCCCTTGAAGAACATCCTTCTCTATATTCTCCTTCCCTTCCTCTTATGGGTATGGAAATGCCAGGTGCCTGTAGTCTGTATGAGTGTTTCTCAATGTTGGCAACTTTAAGCCGTGTGGATTTTAACTCCCAGAATTCCCCAGCCAGCATCATTTCCAAGTGCATTTTAAAAAAACTTTCTAAGTGTACAAATTGGCATATGCTTATGCTAAATGTTATTGTCAGGAAGGGGACTCCCCACCACCACCTCTATCCCTGTCTCCTTCCATTTCTATTTTTCCCATCAGTCAGAATTTCCATTATTTTGTGCATCTCTATCCATCGTTCCTTCTGTCACTTATCAGCGGGAAATGTGAATGTTTTCATCTCTCCTAGTTTTTTTTTTTTTTGAGGAACCCTCTCCATTCCAGAACTCTCCCACCATCTTCAGATGCAGCAATTTCTGCCTCTCATGAAGTCATACAAACCTCTCCCTCCCTGTCCGTAAACATGCCGGAACTGCTGACAGGTGAGTGAGAACTGCAGATGGAATGAATGAAGACGAAGATGAGCTTCATGAACACCATCTGGTAACTTCCCAAAATGGCCAGTAACTGGGTATCTTTTTCAGCAAATGAAATACTTCAGCCTGCCCTTTCTGCACTGAGTCCAAAATATACTCAGATTCTTCTTCCCGTCACAGGATGTGGGAGCTTTGAGGAAAGAGACATGCAAAAGTAAGGGGGGGCTTCCAGGACCCAGAGAGAATGATGGGAAACTAGGTATGTGTTCAGTGTGAGGGGAAGCTGCAGGCAAAAGGTCACAAGAATGACATGTGTAGCTACAAAGAATGGACCAACTAGCTGGGCATATAGTTTCTTAGAAAAGCATATAGAAGGGAGAAATTGGAAAGAAAACAAGATGTGAATTCCAACACGGACGGGGATGGGTGGAGTTCCCTTCCTGACAATGACATTTAGCATAAGCATATGCCAATTTGTACACTTAGAAAGTTTTTTAAAAATGCCCTTGGAAATGATGCTGGCTGGGGAATTCTGGGAGTTAAAATCCACATGGCTTAAAGTTGCCAAGATTGAGAAACACTGATAGAGACTATTCTCAGAGACATTCCCACTGAAGCAATGGGGTGCTAGAATTGGCTTACACCAGCTCAAGAATGCCGATTGTTAAATTTTCTGGAATTTTGTGAGCTGGTCAACAGCCGAGGCAAACCTCAATGCCTAGCCCACTGTAGCTAGCAGTGCAATACAAGGACTATGGAGCCAGCAGAGCCAGTTCTTAAGCATTTAGCTGTACATTGACTTTGGAGAGTCAGTCATTAATGATCAATTCAATGGATCTGTTCTCTTATGTATGTACAGTATATTCATAGATATACTTCAAATAGATTGTACAGATTACTTTTCACTGTTAAAGCAATCCCAATTATCAATACACTACTTAGTCCCATAATGTCAGCCCTTCAAGATAGTCCAGACAAGAAGCACAAACCATGAATATTAACACTACCTTTATTGTAAGTTTACAGTAATAGTGTCTAGCTAGTCTGAAAGGACTTCTCCCCTCCTTCACTGTTATTTTCCAGAAAACTAGGGAGGGGCTCTTCTGGAGCTGCTTCTCACACCCCTTTTCCTTCTGTGGTCTGAGATGCCTTTTGCATGATGGTTGCCTAGGCTGTGGCTCTTCCTCCTCTCTCCCAAGATCATTCCCACATACTATTACATATAACTGGTGGAGGGCATATGTTCACTTTTGAATATTTGTACCTGAAACCATGAATGATTATCTTAGTTCCCAAGCTGGCATTGAATCCGGCCTCCTGGATGTCCTCCTGTTGTGAAAGCAGCTGTCCACAGCTGGGATTGGAAAAGGGAAACAGAAGAAATCGAACTTGGAGATTTGTACCCCATAGTAAATGTGCAGATTGGAACTCAGCACACTGTTGATTTTTCATAATATTTTTAGACTCTGAAATGTAACAATAACAATAATAAACATTAATAATAATGTTAATATGTCAACAGTAGGAGAAGCATCTTCCAGGGAGACCCATTTAAATCCTTATTATTTGTCACTGCTATGATCCCACTTTCAATTATTTTGAAGAAAACAAATCTTGGCTATCAAATAGCAAAAAATGCTAATAAAAATCTCACATGTGCTTTATATGGATGATCAGAAGCTTTATAAACAATTAGAAGTGAAATCCAGTCATCAACAAACACTATAAAAAAATTTAGCACAGCTATAGCAATGGTATTTGGCCTAGAAAAATGTGCTATAATAGCAATAAATTGGGGTAAATGGAATTGAAATGCTGAATGGTCAAATGTCAGAAACCACCAGGATGAAACCTACAGGTATCTGGGTATTTTAGTGGGATAACATCCAAGCATGGACAAGTTAAAAATGTGATTAGTAAAGTGTTATATATTCGGTTCTTTAGGTGTTGAATGAGGCAGAGTGTTGAAACAGCAACAAGTTTATTAACTCAGAACAGAAGCAGCCCTAAAGGCCGCTGCACAGCTATTTATACAGTTAGCCTCTAGGAGGCAACCAATAGGTTTAAAGTAACAGTTTCCCGCCCCAAACCTCATTATCAGCTTGGAGACAGCCAGTCTGGCTTTCAGTAACAGCAACTGTTAAACAATACAGCAATGTAGGTCAGACATTAAGCAAGTGATTTAAAACAGTTGTGGCCAATACATTACATCCCTTCCCGCTAGATGGCTCAAACTCTCAATTGCTGGACATAGTCCTGCAGATATTTAGGCGGCCTTCTTGACTGCTCTGAACATCTAGGGGTTGCAGGGGTTTCCTGGTCTACCTGCTCGCCTGCCCGGCTGGGTAGACCAGGACTCTGAGGTCCAGTGAGGTCAGGTTGACTCAGGTCCCTTTGGCTGGCCAGCCCAAACCAAAGTCCAATCATGCAGCAAAGTCTGCAGGGCTGTCCCTCAGCGCAGTTTGCTGGTCCTGTTCAGCGGATACTGTCTGTCTATCCGGGGGAAGCTCTCCTATGGTCTTTTCCCCGGCTCCTTGAGTAAGAGTTCTGTTGGAGCGTGCAAGCTCCTCTGTTGGGCCGCTGTTGCACGGCCCTTGTGTGTGGCCCTCTTGAGAGGCCTGAGCCAGCGACTGGTTCACTAGCCTCCGACGCAGCTGGTCAATGTGCCAGCAAATGACTTTCCCATCTTTCAGGACTACCTCATAAGAGAGTGGTCCCGACACCTTAACAATCACGGCTGCCACCCACAAAGCCCCTTACCTGTAATTCTGGGTCCAAACCCGGTCACCCACTTGCAATTTCCGAGATGCCTTTGGCTGAGCAGAGTCCGAGGCAACCCGGTCAGGGTGCAGCCTATCCAGCTTGGTGATCAAACGTCGGCCCCATCTGAGTTCGGCAGGGCTTCTGCCCGTGGCGGTACAGGAAGTTCTGCGTTGGCAGAGTAGAAAATCTGCCAGTCTGTGGTGCCAATCTGCCAGTCTGTGGTGCCAATCCCCTGTAATTTTAGTGATTCCTTGGTTGTGCGGACCATGCGTTCCGCTTGGCTGTTCGAGGCCGGGTGAAAGGGAGCCAATGTGGCGTGCCATATTAGATTTGCCCTGAGTAAAGGCTGGAATTCAGAAGCGGTAAACTGAGCCCCATTGTCAGAGACTAACATGTTTGGAAGTCCATGTGTTGCAAAGATTCTGCACAGTTCCTGGATGGTCCTGGCAGTAGTCATAGTAGAGACTGGTGCGACCTCTAACCATTTAGAATGGCTATCTACCACTATTAGAAACAGCTGTCCCTGAAAGGGCCCGGCAAAATCGATGTGGATTCTTGACCCCGGTGTGTGTGTGTCCTCCCATTGGTGGACAGGGGCTTGTGGCATCTCCGGTCTGGATTGCTGGCACGTGTAGCAACCATGTACTTGGGCCTCGATGGCTTTATCTAGCCCTGGCCACCAAAGGTAGCTCCTCACAAGTGCCTTCATCCAGACTATTCCCGGATGACCCTCGTGCAGAGACTCTAGGACCCTGGGCCTTAAAGAGCTCGGGACTATGACCCTACTTCCCCAAAGGATGCACCCCTTATGAGCTGAAAGCTCATCTTTTCTCATGAAGAAACTCTGAAATTCTGGCCCTGGACATTTGTCCAGTCATCCTGTGTGTACCCTGTTTAGCACATGACTCAGCGTTTTGTCAGCTGCTGTCTCAGCAGCTATGTCCCCAGTGTGAAGGGGAGATTCCGGCAAATCCTGGATAGCCAGGTTGCATGCAGCCGGTGCTGGATCTGGCTCCACATGTGGCAGGGGCAGCCTTCTCAGGCCATCTGCATGGCCCATTTCCTTGCCTGGTTTGTGAATCATCCTGTAGCTGTAGGCTGACAGGAAGATAGACCACCTCAGCATTCGAGGAGACAGAATCTGAGGTGTCTGTTTGTTTGTGGTGAACAACCCTAGGAGTGGCTTGTGGTCTGTGAAGACCATAAACTAGTGGCCATACAAGTAGTCATGGAACTTTTTAACTCCGGCCACAATGGCCAGAGCCTCCTTGTCAATTTGCGCATAGTTGCGCTCTGCAGCCGATAGGATCCTGGAGTAATAAGCGATGGGCTTCTGCCTCCCATCAGCCATTAAGTGGCTTAACACAGCCCCAACCTCATATAGGGATGCATCACATGCAATGCAGACAGGCAGGTGCTCATTGAAATGAGTGAGAACTGAGTTCGACGACAGCAGTGATTTGACTGCTTGGAAGCTACTCTTGTGGACACTGGTCCACTGCCACTGAGCTTGTCTATCCAAGACCCAGTGTAACGGCTCTGCCACTGTGGCCTTGTTTGGGAGGAAGGCATGGTAAAAATTCAAAAGGCCTAGGAAAGCCTGAAGCTCTCCCTTTGACTTCAGCCTTGGGGCCTGCTGGATTGCTTTTAATTTGGATTCCGCCGGATGAATGCCTTCGGCATCGATGAGGAAACCAAGGAACTCGGTTGACTCTACCCCAATCTTGCACTTTTCTTTTTTTAGTTTAAGTCCCGCGTCACGGAACCACTGAAGGATGGCCTTAAGCCGTTCAGCCAGAATCTCAACTGATTCCCCAGCAATGAGGACATCATTGAAGTAGGGGGAAATCCCTGGAATTCCCTTGAGCGTGCGCTCCATCACTCCCTGGAACAGCCCTGGGGCTACACTCACCCCGAACTGTAGGCGCTTAATCTTAAAAGCCCCCCCTATGGGTGACAATGGTCTGGGCTACCGCCCTCATCCACGGGCAGTTGTTGATAGGCCTGTGCCAAATCTAATTTGGCGAACATGCGGCCTCCTTGCAATGACGCCAAAATATGGCTGACAACTGGCACAGGGTACGCGTGCTGTTGAAGTGCCCTGTTGAGGGTGCACTTATAGTCAGCACATATTCGCACTTCCCCATTGGCCTTTAATGGCATTACTATGGGGGTCTCCCACACCCCACTGTCTATGGTCTGCAATACCCCTGTTCCACTAGCTTATCCAGCTCTGCATCAATTTTGGGTTTTAATGCGAAAAGCACTCTACGAGGCTTGATCCGTATTGGTGTTATCATAGGATCAAGCTTGAGGGTGATTGGAGGACCCTTGTACTCCCCTAGAATAAAACTGAAAACATCCGCAAACTCTTGGCAGACTGCTGACAGATCTGCCGCTTGTGTTCGGTGAATGCCGGTTACTTGAATGCCCAATTCATCAAACCAATTGAGCCCTATGAGGCTTGTGCATTGGCCTTCCACCACTATGACATCTAGTGGCCCATTGAACCACTTGAATTCCACCAGAAGTGTGGCTTCGCCTTTGACTGCCACTCGGGAGTTTTGGAAGACTGTGAGTAGTAGATTAGACAGCCAGAGCTTGGCCCATCTGTTGCTACAATGGCATAGGTGCCTGAATGTTCCTTGTAAAATGATGGACATGGCTGAGCCCGTGTCCAGTTCCATCTTGCATGGAACTCCCTGAAGTTTGACCTGTAGTCTAAGCTTCTGCTTCAGGGGGCGATGGGCACCAGTGCGGAACACGCTTCTTCGGCAGGAGCAAAACCCTACTCGGTGTTGACCCGGAGCCTCGGTACCTCTCCTGAATGTGTCTTCTTTCGGGCGGTCCCTCTGACGACCTCGGCAGACGGCGGCAAAGTGGCCTGGTTTGCCACAGGCCCGGCACATTGCAGTTCGGAATTGGCAATCCGTGCATTGATGGCGGCCTCCATAGCCCATGCATCTAAGGAACGGAACTGCCTTCCCAGCTGGCTGCAGTCCCTTCTCCGGGTGCTTTCATAGCTGGTCAACTTCGTAATCTGAGTTGGTGTCTTCCATCCGCTTGGAGTTCCTCATGGTGGACAGCTTCGATGCTTGGCACGCTTTTGGAGGGCTGCAGCGCTTTAACGGCCCCTCCGGTGGCTTTGTCTGCCATGACCTCCTTCAAGGCCTCTTGTAGCGAGAGAGTCTCCTTAGCGAACAGTTTTTATTGGAGCTCTCGATTCTGGAGTCCACAGACTAAGCGGTCTCGTAGTCTCTCCTCCAAATCCGCGAAATTGCAGAGTCAGGACGCTTGACGAAGAGTGGCAATGAATTCTGTTGCAGACTTGCCAGGTTGTTGCTCCTGCTGCTCAAAAGCGTGCCTCCATGCTATAACGGATAACTTGGGCTCAAAGTGGTCTCGGAGCTTTTTTTTCAAGTCCGCATAGGTGACCGACTCAAGGGGTGACCAGGTTCTCTGCAATGTCAAAGGTGGTGGGGTCGCACATGCAGAGGAGTGTCGCGGCCTTCAATGCATCTTCGGCAACCTGGTTGGCGCGGAGGTAATTTTTGACGTGGGATATGTAGGACACCCATCTCTCCGGGTGAGTTACATCGAATTCTTTGACCTTCCCGACCTTCGCCATGGTGGTTTGTTTCTTCATGCAATGCCTTGCACTGCTGGCTTCTGTGTAGGCCCTAGGACAG